CTTGAATTAGTGGACTGTACCCCGCTGGGCCGGCGCGGCTGGCGACGAGCGAAATGAACTGGCGGCGGTGTGGCTGATCTGGGAGCCAGACTGCCGCTTCAATTCAACCTTGATTTTAGGATATTGAGCAGTACGCTCTCACCACTCTATCGCTGTGTTTCGTATTAACGAAAACAAAAATACAGTAACCCAGGGTACGTGGCTGTCACCAAAGATAGTAACATGTATGATGTATCTTTGGTTTTATGTGCCACTAGCGCTAGCGCTACGCGATATTTAATATTTGTATGCACGTTGATCGCGAATGGGTGCGTGTCCGTCTCGAACGCGAAGCTTAGGACCGGACGTGGACGGCCGAAGCTCATCATCCCGTGGCGCCACAACGGCGTGTGTACCTTGAGTTTCAACCCTGTTACCACCTTCATCATGTCCATGCTTAGCCCCACTAGTGTGGCACGGACTCTCACTCCCGGCCCGATCCCATCCCGGGAGTGATCCGTGCTACACTAGTGGGGCTAGTCCATGCTGTGTGCTTCAACCATTAACCAATCAGATTCTGACTAGTAGTCGGCAATGATGAGTCGGCAATAAAAACATAATTTCTGTGAACTTCTGATCATAAATAGGGCCTAGGGCCTATCAACCATGTCCTAGTCTACATGTACATGGTCCTATGAATGTGATGCATTGGTCATCAGGTCATGTTGGATTTGGCCTAGCACCACTGGCACGGACTCTCACTCCCAGTCCATCCTTGGAGCGGGAGTGAGAGTCCGTGCCACACTAGTGGGGCTAGATTAGGCCTAGACCTACATGTAGGCTATGCAAGTTAGTGTGATGTTTCCTGATGACAGAGGCCTTTCTCTAGTCGGAGCATGATTTGACCCTACAAATTGCCTTTTCTAACATGTGGACAAGGTCGGGTGATACTAGTCCAAAGGCAATTTGTAGGGTCCAAATTACTCGGACCAGGCCTACTCGGCAATAAGCCAATTTCCTGTTTCGTCGCCACGTTGATTTGAGTCCCCCCGCACGAGTAAGTGAACTCGAAGTGAACAATGACAATCACAAGTATCCATTTGCCTAACATTCCGCAAAGTTGTCATGAATTTGTTCTCCTCTGTTAAGTCTTCTGAACTTGCGCCCATGAAAAAGGCTTATTTTTAGTAATTTTTTTTCCGGCATATCCGATAAGTACTCAAGCAGCAAGACAGAAAATAAAACCCTTTTCAACATTCTCAGGCCTACATCATGGTCCGAGTAACAAGGATTCTACAAAATCTCTTTTAACATTTGGATATGGTCTAGTATTAACAGAGTTGGAGAATGCCGAATATTAAAGTTAAAACTATTATGTTATTAAAGTCACTACTCTGTGTGTAGTGAGACCAAGTAGACATGTACTATCGCTGACCATCAGGACCGTCATAATTACGTGTATGTTCAACATTCGTAGAGACCTACATGTAACGTTAGTTCAGTTGCTCGATCTTATCGGACTAATTACATGTACATCAAGGATCATGGGATTGGATAACAGCAAAGCCTTGCATGAATTATGGCTATGAATAGTGTGAGGAAAGTGAACCTGTCAAAAGTCAATTCATAATTTTCTTCCAACTATTTCTTAAAAGTACCTGCTCATCAAGTTGGAGATGAATACATAGTCGTACTAGTGTTCAGGAGTACATAAGTTTGCTAGAAGAGAAAGTGCTCTTAATTTTGTTTGTTTGTGAAAGGGCACCAGTAAGCCAGTCAAAGAATGATGGAAAATGAACATGGTGAATGCAGGCAGAATGAGCTTTCAGCCCTCATTCTGATTGGCCAATACCCTGAATACTGGCTCATTGACATTCATGATAGGATGTTTCTGTTGGGGAAGGGATTCTCCCAAATGTTCTTTTTCTGATAAACTTAACATTTTATTTTTTATTTATAACTTCATCCCCAATGTTCAGTGCACCACTGTAAAAAGAGAATGGTTTGATTTGACTGTCATAAAATGAAGACATTAATATTTTGCAGGTACACTTCTGTGTGATTGTGCATAATATGCATGGACCGGTACCCGTCCCTATTATATCCGGTTCGTAAGTGACTACATCATACCCTGATGTGGACGCATCACTGATTGCAGACTTCCGTTGGACAGACATTCATAATTGCAGGTACATTCTATGCATGTTTTTAAAACTTGTCAAACATGTCCATGCAAATTTGATGGGTGAATTAAAAGATGCAGTGCCAATGGAGGCTGCTTGTCTTTTCACGTAATTTCCAGTTTACTAATTACTTTGCTCTGAACCACTTGACACCTATCACCCCCCCCCACTCTGTGAAAGAGGTAACAGCACAAAAATCTTGTGCAAAGCTATGGTTGAGGTGATGGTGATGGGCGATGGTGCCCACTGCTTCATGGAAGCTATGATTTAAAGAGAAGGAAAAAATATTGGACTAGCAAAAAAATGTCTAATATGTAACCGGCTCAACAAAAAATGGGTATTGGACATTTTTTTCAAAATGAGCTACATACTCATTTGAATTGATTACATTATAAGCTTTAATTTGGTGTAGGTTTAAAGTGTGGGGTGCTTTTCAATCTGGATATATAATGATTTTTGCATAATCATATCATACACATGAACAGAAGTACTTTCAGAGATAAAGCCCTTTAAACAAAGGAAATGGAAAAAGAAATCAGCTAAGAAGAAAATCTCTTGATACCCATAGCAACGGTTAGGTTTCTGGGATGAATTGTGAAAGTACTGATATAATAGAAACCAATAAACCGACAAGTAAAAAAAATTCACCCTGTCCACATAAAAAAGCCCTTAGTGTGAAATAGCACAGTGTCCCTTTTTTGCGGAGCAGGTCATATATTAGGATGTAATCTTATGGTGCTGTGAGATCAAAGTAAAATAGTGCCAACTCTTGCTTTCCTTAAGTGTGCATCCGACCCGAGTCACAAGCGTGATAGTCCACTCATAATTTACATGTGAAGTTACTCTCATGTACGAGTACAGCCATCATCAAAAGGGAAGTTTGAGCTCTACAACCAGAATTGATCAAGGTTTCCTGAATGATGATGGTTTGGACAATCCGATCACTTAGGAATCGGCACTGAGACATGGATGTCAGTAATTAGTCTATTTGATTTGTCAGTATGGAGGGAACCATTCACGAGGAAATAATTGTCTTCGATTTCATGTGCCATGCACGCTGCATGAGTGATGATAAAGAATTGGGACGATGAGATTTTACAAATAGTTCATCTACGGCTGCGCAAGCATTTGCGCATGTACATTGTTTAAAAATTAATTCCTCCTGGTTGAACTCTACCGTAGTTCACAAATTTACTGAAAGAACTTGGTAGAGTGTCGGAAATAATACGGTTGTTTCACCTAAATGAAAAAAGGAAAATTTCCTTCATAATACAGGCAAGGCGTCATTACCTTTCTTGTAACACTGCTGCTGTTTATGCTTAAACTCAACAGAAAACATCACACCTTTGTTTAGTGCTTGCCTTCAAACCTACCAGTATAAGAAATCCGTTCACATGCATGTACATGAGAGCTACATGTGAACCTGAAGAGCAGTCACTTGCATCCATTTGTCAGAATTCCAAGATGAGCGATGTAGTCATAATCCTGCAATGCTGTGCAGAGTTAATGCAAACATCAGAGAGCATCATCTGAGCTGTCATGTGATTCATTGTTCTGTCTGCTGTCAACACACTACCAATTTTGTGAACTTCACTGCTCCAAATTATATGGTATGTTATCTTCATGTTTAAAGAGCAACTCAAAAGGAAAACATGTTTTCTCTGATATTATCTGTTCAAATAAATATGGAAGCATCCAAATCAAACACAGTGTCATTTGTCTTCAGAGCTCAGCTGTAACAAGCTAAAAAGGGCTTTTTTCTGTTCATGCAAATTCTGAACATGCTGAATGTAGATTGCATCTGTGCTTGTAGCGAATCAACCTTGTGCATGCCAAACAATGGCTACAAACAATAGCTACATGCGCTGTTTGACATGCACAAGGGTTTAGCCACTACAAACACGGGGCGAGGGTTCCCCTCATTTTCTCTGTTTTCTCAGAATGAAGCAATCTACATTCAGCATGTTCAGAATTTGCATCTTGGCATGAACAGAAAAAAGCCTATTTTTTAGCTTGTAATAGTTGAGCTCTGTAGACAAATGACACTGTGTTTGATTTGGATGCTTCCATATTTATTTGAACAGATAAAATCAGCGAAAATGTGTTTTCCTTGGAGTTGCTCTTTAACTACATAACTGTCATTTTGTGTGTTATAATTGTGAACTCAAGGATGTTTGTAAGTTCAGTGGTGTATTTATATTTAAAAAATGATTTTCTAGTTGTATCAGATTTTATATCTTTACAATCATGCCAAGTTTTGTCTGTCATACTTTGAATTGATAGATTAAGTACATGTGATTTTAATTCCAAAAGGAAGTTTTTTGCCTGGAAGTTGAAAGTAATCTACCTTGTCTTCCAAAATGCTCCACTCTTTCGGAAACACTTTCCAAGAAGTTAAATCTTGGCTTTCAGAGGGATATCTGGGAGGATTTTATGCATCAGAAAAGCATTCATCCATACTATTCCTAAAACAAAAATATGTCACTGGTCAATTATGAACTATCAATGCGCCAAGTGTTAAGTTAATTCTGCACCTCATGGTTAGAACTATTTTAAATCAATTTATGTCATAAAGCAATGTGTACATTATGAAAACCTTGTGCCTGAGACTCTGTATGATTTGATACATAATACATACATGTATCTGTCTTTTACAGAACCTGTTGGAGGACGGCAGCTGACAGAATTCCTGTGACTGAATTTCATTATTGCCTTCAAGTTAGGATCCAATTTGTCATTCCTCAAGAATTCACAGAGAGGTATTAAAGACAGACAATGTGTTTGACAGTGCTCATGTTGAATCCCAAACCTGAGAAGGATGGATATCGACTCGTACTTGCCTTTAATCGAGATGAGTTTTATGAGAGGCCCACCAAGGCGTCTGAGTTCTGGGACAGGAATCCTGATATTATAAGTGGTAAGATATTCAACTTTGAACTTAGAGTTCAACTTGGACATGACATTGGAGGTTTTGAAACCAAAGGCTTCCAACAACTTCCATGTTTTTCGGTAGTTAGTCAAAAGGTCTTGATGTATCTGTGATGTTTGTTTGAATCTTAGTCTGTCACAATGAGGATAAAATTGCCAAAGAAATTAAAAGGCTGTGGGAAATCCTCGCTTGTTCTTAAAATGGCTGTTGCATTGATGCATTCTGTGGAGCTGGAAAATTAACATTGGTTGTGCTGAATACTCCTCAGTCCTGCAAAATTGTCCTAAACCTCCTTGTTGATTTTGAAAGATCTGGAAGGTTTAGGGTTGGAAACTCTTTGGAAATCGGCTCTATGATCATCTAACTTGGTTCCAGCCTCCAGACTGACTTTAAGAATGCTTGCCTTGGGTTTGGCAGGTCAGGATATGACTGCAGGCAAGGAGGGAGGGACATGGCTAGGGATGAGTCGATCAGGAAGAATAGCAATGCTTCTAAACATTATTCAACCACATGGAATTGACCCTGATGCCAAAGGGAGAGGTAGGTCCACTGCTGTCATCAAACTCTGTACCCCTGGAATATCCTGTCTGATTGTCACTGATCGAGACCATCTACATGATAGAGATTACCAACACAAAGTTGAATGGCTCAGCTGGTTCAACTCCTGTTTTGCTTTTTCAGGAGATTGGTTAATATCAAGGTTCTGTCGTCTTAGTTGAAGTATCAGTAAATTCCATTCAAGTAAAGTTCAACTCTGTTTCCTTCATTCAGGATCACTTGTGTCAGATTTTCTCCAAGGTAGCCTGGATGGCCAGACCTACCTCCAAGGCATAGCAAAGGAGCGAGATTTATACAACGGCTTCAATCTCATAACTGTAGAATTGGGGTAAGGAAAGTGAGGCTAGTTGATGTGGTATGCATATATTTACAGAATGAGAAGTTGTAGCCCACAAGACTATAATTCTGTACAGAAACGCCTTCTTCATAATAAAGGTCTGTTGAAGTCACACCTTGCATATGTTTTCTGAATGATTTAACCATTTTGTTGTGTCTGGTCGTTTGATGATCTCAACTTTATCTCTGACACAAGCACTCTTTGACTGGAAACAGTAACAAAGTGTCACTATTGAAGGATAAATCACAAGTGTCACTGTTGAAGGACACGAATGACAAGTGTTACTGTCGAAGGACATGAATGACAAGTGTCACTGTTGAAGGACATGAATGACAAGTGTT